GGTGGTTTTGGCTCACCGAAGATTTTTTCACCTCACCTTACGGCTAGTTTCGCCCGAACCAAGCATTTTGAAGCAAAACTCTGAGTACAAAAGTTGTTCAGAATCGAATTCTACAGTCCCCCACGAGAGGTTTTTTTAAAATTTTCTGGTTTTGCTATTTAAATTACATTTTACGACTCTTAAAATTTTAAAATTTCATATTTTTCAATTTAAAAACCAAAAAAAGAAAATTTTAAGAAAGCTCTCGTGAGGGATCCGGAATTCGATTCTGAGCAACTTTTGTATCCAGAGTTTTGCTTCAAAATGCTTGGTTCGGGCGAAACTAGCCGTAAGGCTTTTTCAAAATACTTTTAGCTCTAAAATTTCTTCGGGAAGGTGAAAGTTAAATTTCTCCGTTAAACTTCGTTTGGGAACGATGTAAAGTTGATGTAATGATGTAAAGTATACAAGTTAATGTTCTCTATCGACCTACGCCAGAATCAACTCTTCGTATAAAAAGCTGAAGTTTTTATTGAAATTCTAAAAATAGGGCAAAAAACCCAAAAACAACTTCAAAATTTTTTTATCAAAAACTACAAATCCGGGAACTGAAAGCTTTGTTGAGACGTATACTTCGAAGTGCTCTCTACCAACTGGTAAAAAAAACAGGTGCCCCCCTCCCGCCCTTAACATGTTTAGATGTTCTCTTCATAGGCTTTTGTGAAAAACATTACCGAAGACACACAAATAACGACAGATAGATATGGGGAGAATCGAACAAGCACTCGCTGTACGAGCGTGCTCGTTGCTCGAGCGAACAGACGAATCGCGCTCGTCGTTCAAGGGCGCCTGGTGTCCAAGCGTTCACATGTCAGTCCTAGTTTAAGTTAGATCAGTTTACAGTCTAAGCTTAATTTAGATTAACGACAGTAGCACTGTCGTAGTTCAAAGTATCGGATGAATTATCAGTTAAATCTTACTTTCACTAAATTTTAATAATATGCAGTGCACGAGCGGTCATGCAAAATGTGCTCGATTCGTCCCATACCCAACTACAGAAAATCCGCATTACAGCTAATCGATAGAGAATTTTAACATTTTGGCCTACTTGCTCTAGACAACGCATACTTTCAACTTCACATTGGCAAAATACGCTTTTTGAATTAAATCTTTTAAGTTTTTCGGACATTTAGATTTCTGTTCAATTAAGATAGTATATCAAACGTACTTAACTAATCCAGCGGATAACTTCTGCAGAAGGACACAGCAGGGTCATGAAACCCTGTTCCTAGCATAAGACTTAGACTTTCTCATGAGACTATCCTGCATGATTTTGGGCAAAAATCGACTTGAGCTAGTCGCCAAAATAAACAAAGATCATGGTGGTCTCATGCTTTGTGAAAAAGTCAATCAGTCCTATTTATACTCAAATTTTGCTATGTAATACATGACTGTATTAAAAAGCGATACTTATGCCAGTAAACAACGAACTCTCAAATCGGTCATATCCAACAAACTCACATCTTACTGATTGTAGCATTTTTCATTTGCCTTGCGATTTTTGATGTAAACTATTCCTCTTACACTAGAAGTCACAACATCAGCATAAGATCAGTAACGTTATCATCGTACATTGTGATGTTCACCGGCTTTAAGTCAGTGCTATGTATTTGACTGGTAATATAAGAATCGATCAACATATCAATTTTTCCAAGTGATTTTGAAGTATCTGTTTTTGAAAACATTGCTTCCTTTGGATATTTTGTTAATGTATCGTTCTGTTTCTGTCTGTACGGTTGCGAAATCATCGATATATACAAAGGATCATAATGGTCACCAGTGTAAACTAAATAAATACGCTTATCAGTACACTCATTTTTGTCATTGCCATAGATATATTTTCCACCCCTGTTACTAGAGTTCGCTTTCATATCAATTGTAACAAATTCGACTCTGAACCATCGTGAAAGTATTGAAAGTTCGATGAAACCACCCCAACTTTGTGGTTGACGAATCCATTTAATGTAGTAATTTGCCGGTTTGTCGAGTAGCTGATGAAGTTTTGGATTATCTCTGATTTGTAATGCAACCAAATCACGTAGTTGTTGATTTTCTTTCAAGTTGTATAAGCCATTCTTTAAACCAAACTGAATGGCAGTAAAGAGGCAAGAATTATCAGATGGGACACAATGTCTGAAAACTTGATAAACGTTTTTTGTAGTACCATCAACTGTGACGACATTCGATCTATAAAAAAAACGTCCAAAATAATGTTTCAGCCCAATTTGACTTCAAGGAAAAAGTACAGAACTATGATTTTTGGTATATCGACATTTAGGCGCACAATGTATTAGACGACATTTGGGCGCAAGGATAGTTGAAGTTCAAAGGGCGCGGGTGAGGGTGAGGATAAGTATCGATGAAGATTAAAGAAACAGTGATTACAGTTGGATACGTGTAATATAGCTCTCATACCGTACCAAGTTTGTTTAACGAAAATTTTATCGTTATGTCTCATACTTTAACAAATGCACTCTTACTGAATGCTTTTGTCGTATATACGCCCAATTGTCGTTGCGCCCAAATGTCTGCTAATCCTAGTACTTTTAGGTATACTTACAAAGTGCTCACACTAAAAAATATTGTGTCGCATTTTGTGTCGCAGTAAAATGTGTCCCAGCTCCTGTGAGAAAATTGTGTCGCATCATGTGTTGCCGTTACTAAGAACTTTCAGACACATTTCTTGTGGTCATTTCAGCTCTCTTCAAAAAATTGCTAAATTTTATGTTTTACTATTTTCAGCAGTCTTCATTAGTATTTTTCTCGGCTTCTTTTCCATTTTGATGTGCTATGGGTGGCGCTAATACGTAAAAGATAAGAAAATTTTCGAACTTTTTAAGTGTTTTCAATTTCGAATTGGTGTTTTTAGTGGATAAAGATCCCTCTCTTGGTCTTTTTTAACTATTTTCTATGTTAAACATTTTTTCTCTAATGAAAAAGAACCAATCAGAGCCTTGGACTACGCCAGATCTCGGAAACTAAATATTTTGAAGGCCTGTAAATATTACCGGCGGATTGAGCTTGTTGACATTACATGGAGCATCCCAAAATGAACTAAAAATATTCTTAAAATCGAATAAGAGATCGAAAATACTTAATTTCTACTCTATGGTAGAAATACTCAGCGGAATGTGTCGCAGCCTCAGTGGAAGAAATGTGTCGCAAGTGGCTCCCCGTGTCGCAGAATATGTCGCAATTTCCGACACATGCGACACATTATTTTTTAGTGTGCTCGATTTATCAGTAATTGCAAGAATAGAGGATAGTTGAGGAAAAATTTTCTACTCACATATTACTTATCAAATATAATCTTCTGCTCGACACTATTTTACAAACTGTATCATCACAGATTGTAATCAAGTTTCCAATTTGTATCATTGAATTTTTAATGATTTCGTGATCCACTGTAATTGAAGAAGATCGTTCAAAAGGCAGATGGTTATTTGATTTATTCTCGATTGACTTATATGAGTTTTGATGTGAGATACTTCTTTGATTTGTTAACGAATTTGTGATACTTGATTCAAATATTGCTGACAGAATATAAAAATAATTGCCAATAGTTGTGAGAATTTTCAATTCTTCATCTTTATCAAAAAATATGTCCATCATACTTAGCATTAAATTTCCTAGTAATTCTATCATAAAACTTAAGATTATTTTGAATTGTTCTAGACTCACTCCCGTAAATACTTTTATCTCAAGTGAAAGTTCTTCTAGAAATTGATCATTAGAAGCATCTTCACGAAATATGTCATCAAATATAATTTTACTTAACTGTGAAGAAATATTTTTTAAGCCGACATTTTCTAATGTTTTTCGTAAATAATTGAATGGATCTTGGTTAACTGTTGTCTTATTATCAATCCAAGACAAAACATCGCATATCATATCCATTACAAACTCTTGAAGTGACGAATACTCTGGTTCACTTTGTTGTTCTCGTTCTGCACTGAACAAATCGAATGACAAACTATCAATATCTTTTCCTTTAAAATGTAAATTGTCTCGCAGTTTCTCATTGATTTCTTGACCCGCTACCTTTGGCAAATTTCCCGCATTTGCTATTACACATAGATCAGGATCTAATGTTTTTAAATTCTCTTTAAAATGTACATCAAACATGTTGAACATTTGGTCAATGAATATGTCACTAGTGGTTATAAATCGATTTTCATCAAGTTCTAATGTATCAAAATATATATCAAATTGAAAAAGAATATACAATACGACTGGTAATGTAAATATAAAATGTGAAAATGTCACATCAGACAAATTAACCGTTATTAATCTCAAAGGTTGTTCGTTACTTCTGTATGATTGCAAATAGTCTATATAATTGATCCATTTATCAATTTTTAATGGAACTAATGATAACGTTTCAAGATATCTTGTTACGTTAATATCAGATAAATTAGTTTTTAAAAAATATTTGTTTTCTAATTCACGAATATCTGATTTTAATTCAAATTCAGCAACAGGATCTAATACAAATTTCTTTGCACCCTGCAAAAATATTTTGCTTTCTTCTGACGGCATCGGATCGTATTCAAAATAATCTCGTGGTGGTGTAACAGAGCTCCTATATGTCCAATTCTCTAGTTTTTCTAACGCCAGTTTCATTAATTCATCTTCATAGAGTTGTAGTATATTGATATCTTCTGTAAAATAATGTTTACAACAATGATCTTTCAAGCACCGAATAGCGTATTGACGCCATTTTTCAGCTAAACTTTGAAAAAAAATGTCTTTATTTGGTTCATTTTGATACAACTCAGTTAAGTTTTCTTGTTCACATATCCAAAGTGCGGTCGTTTTTGCAAAGTAAGATGGTAAATACTGTTCGCCAACTTGCACATCATTTGCTTTCGATAAAATTTCGTAATATAGACTTTTTGCTATTTTATTTAGGCTTTTTTCCACATCACTACGAAGTTGTGCTATCGTTTTTTCAATATCTGAAAACGAATAACGGAATTCGAAATGTGCTTCATGTTCCGGTGTGATTTTTGACCATTTTGGTACAACAAATACGATACTTTTCATTATTGGTTCAAGTACATCAGGTCGATTCTTTGTAATTCGATCGATAAACGGATTTAAGATTTTCGGCCAGAAATTGAGTCTAATTGCAGGAACATGATCAATATCAATCTCATATGGTTTGATATTATCCAAATAATTTGCTAGTTCGGCACAAAATGGATTTATGAGATGCTTATGTTTATCGATAAACTCACTAAATGCTATTAAACGACTAGAAATTTCGCTATGTATTGGAATACCACAACAGGGTGATGCAATTAACATTGCTAGTTCAAAAATGACTATTATTTGAGACCGAAATGTACAATATGACGGTAATACAAAAGGAACTTCTCTAAGTTCTTGTGCAAACTGCTCGGTATTTTCAAATAGACTTTTCAATTTATCTAATATGGCTGGAATACTCATGTATACTTTCCGATAAACGTCACTCATAAATGGCTTATTTTGAATTCGTAAATTATTTATTGTTTTAAGTCTTTCGATTAAATCTAATAATTTTTCTTCCATTTTTGAGCCATACCAGGTCAGTGCATGGAGCGTGATTGTATACTAGCTGAACCTAACAGATTTTTATACATTACATCAGACACTTTACTCGTTTTATCTAATTTCTGTAATATTAGCATTAATTGATCCTTTACTTTCGTACCGTTAACACAAAAATGTCCACATTGGTCATTATCGGCCAGACTAGGTAAGAAATGATTACCATTCCACAGGACTTTGACAAAACCGGGTGAGCATTGTAGCGGTATCAATTCTGACTCAGCATCAATTACACTAAGTTCGTACAAGAGATCAATTTCACCAACATTTTCTTTGTCAATGCACCTCATGCCAGCTACGTTCTCCTGAGTGCTCCCATAATACCGTGACCTCCCAGTGGCGGTCATTTTTTTTGTACTTTCCTATCGATTTTATAGAAATTTTTAGGGTCGTTGAATTAGGAACAATGTTGTGCGTAAATGTGTGAATGTTACGCAACGGCTGTTGTACAGATTACTGTTTGTGCTCCTGCAATAATATTCTCATCTGAATAAGGTTTTGATTATTGCACTTTATATAATGAATAAAAGAAGGAAAAAATCCATGCCATTGTTTCTGATTCAGAATTTTTCTCTTTTGTTAGTATACACGATGTTTGTGTATTCATTGTACTC